GGCGAAGTTTGCAAATACGCGAGAAAAAGTATAAATCGCGTGGTTTGTATAAACTAAATTCCGCACGCCGGAGCGGCATTCAGCCCTTTGGAGATTCACGCGATCGCCTTCAGCGCGCGGAATGGCCCCGCGTTGTGAGCCAAACCCCTTCGCACCGCCCGTTGAAAAAATAACAATAAATAACCATAAATAATACCCCCCCAAAAATATATATAAGAAATAAATACACCGCCCCGACTTGTGTATATCACCGCGGACCTAACCCATCTTTTATAAATCATCTGGCGTAGACGACAATCCTTCCAAGACGGGGCTGGGGCGATTAAATTACGAGGAAAGCGCCTCCATCGGCGAGGGCGATGGCGGCGGCGAATTAAACCATCTCTGCGAAAAACTCCACGGCGTCGGCGCGAAAGGCGGGGGCCGGCCGAAGTCGGGGACGCCGGACAGCTCCAAGAAGATGTCCTCCGGGCCCAACTTCAAACTTCGCCGCCATTCCTCGGCGGAGGAGCTGCTCGATTTGTCGAAATCGCGAAGATCCGCGGCCTCGCCTGGGGAAAGGACCCCCTTCGGACTATTTTGGAGGGCCGCCTCGCCTTGGGAGGCGGCCCGAGACGAATTCGGGGGCCTTTCGGGCGAATGATCCGACAGGGCGGGGGGATCGCGGACGAACAAACGCCGCGCCACCGTCAAAAGCGGCTCGGCTGGCCCCGAAATGCCCGGGGGGGATTCCAAAACCTCCGAAATGGTCGTGGGGGAATCAAAAAACCCCAAAGTTGGAGCGCCGCCCCCCGCGGAGGCCGCATCGGGGGCGTTGGGGGCCGAATTCGGCACCGCCGGGGGGGTGTTTTGCGAACAATCGCCTCGATTCCTCCGCGGCGACCCGTAGTCCGAAGGCCGCGAAATTTCCCCTTCGGCGAGGCGGCGATGGGGCAAACAGGGCGTGCGATGGTCTAAAACCCCCAACGGGGGACCGCTGCCGATCGAGGAATGCGAAAGATCCCCCGCGTTTTCGCTTTCCGCCGCCTTTCGGGCCCGCTCCGACTCCTTCTCCAGAATCCGCCGGGCGGTGTATTCCTTGAAAAGCCTGGCGGACCGCGTTAGACGCGCCGCCGGGGCCTGCGGGGGGCTCGCATTCGGGTGATTCTCCGACGCCGCGGCGGGGCGGTGGAGGATCTCGCGATCTTTCGCTTTCGAAACACCAACATCCGCCGTTTCCTTCGAATTAAACCGTCGGGCGATCCATTCAGCGCGGAGGCGGGCGGCTTTGGTGGTCTGGGGCGTTTGCGGATTCGCATCGAAAACCACCGGGGGCGGGTCGTCCTCGGGGCTTTCGTCCTGATGTTGGAGGGCCGCCATTCGCGCCTCCTCGCGCCTTTGCATGGCCTCGCAGCGAAGCAAAAACGATTTGTTTTCGACAAAAGAGCGAAATCGCGCTTTTCGTGAGCTGAGCGGGGGCGAAGTGGGCTCAGAAGGGCCCGCGCTCTTCCCCACGGCCCCGCCGGGGGTAAAATCCCCGGCGGAGGGGTCGAAATGGCGGTTTTTATTTAATTCCCGCGTGGCGAAATCGCCGGATGCCGCGCCCGTCCTGCGGCCTGGCGTGTGAGTTGGTAAATCGAAAAAAAGAGGTGCTGTTCGGTAATCAACGCCATCCAAATGAGCCATTCCACGCTATAATGTGCGATAAATGGGCCGGATGGACGTGCGGAGTTCCGATCTAAACCTACAAATCAAAAAAAAGATGAAGAACAACACTGGTGGGGAGAAAAAGGCCGTTTTATTTGCTCTGTGGGGAAAGGGGGGATTTTTCTGGTAGGGTAACCCTTAGAAAAACACACCGTACGCATCCGCGGAAGATGCCGCGGGCTACACGAACCGTAAAACATTTATGCCGGCTAATTCGAGACAAAAGAACGCATCGCTGCTCATTTCTGGTAGGACGCCTTTTCCATCTACCCCTGAAAAAAAAAAAAAGATATAAATCCTCCATGGGCGCTCGGATTCAGCATTAACGCACTGTCATTTATCATAAAAATGTAAGAGCTCGCCTCGACGAGAAATATTTGTTCGCTTCGACTCCTCTACCACAGTTGTGAGGCTGCCATTTCCGTATCGATCGTGTGGGTGTTTGGTTTTTTTTTATCTTCGCGCCCCACCGCACTGGCGTTGAAGTTTGGGGCGACAAAAAATTCCGGAATTCGCTCGAGCGAGCCCACAAAGCCCTCCTCCCTAAGTTGATAATAGTAGACGCTATAGCAGTTTGCCGTAAAGGCGTTATAAAAGTCGTTCTGCCTTGAAATATTCCAGTTGTCCTCGTCCTCTTTGGCGGATTTTTTAGTCCCCATGAACCGCATATGCGCACAAAAGTGCGATACTATTAAGGAAAGAATTGGACATGTGAAAAAGACCGCTTGGTTAAATGATTTGGCCAAAGGAAAGCCCAGTACAACTCAATTCGGTATAGATATATTGATCCCCGTGCGTGTATGCACGTGTCGGGTGGTGGAAAGTAAACAGAAAAAGAGGAAATTGACAGACAGATGGCAAATTATAAGCGTCTGAAGTGCTCCAACTCAAAATTCATCCTTTATTAATATATTTGATTTGACGTACAAGCAAGACAATGGAAAAATTATGCCTTTGCTTTCCATTCTTCAAATATTACGTGCAAAAGGATCAACACCCTTGGCGGGATGAGGAAAACACCAAAGCAGGGAAATGCGGACCACACCAAAAAGAAAGCACCACCCCATGCAGAGCCTGAGAATCGTCTGTGTAGGGCCCGAAAGATACTTTCCGGTGGTAGAGCCTGGCCTTTCGAAAAGGGAGGCCCGAGGGTTGGATGTTTGGCCCATTTGCCGCCTTGGATGCCTCGTGGAGGGTTGAAAACCGACCCGCATTGCCATCGGGGCGGTTTGGAGGGCCCATCGATGATAGACCCGCTTGATTTCGTCCTTCGAGGACGAGGGATCGACGCCGAGTATTCGATCTGGATCGAACAGCCCACTGCCGTGGGCAGCCGCAAGACGCGTTAGGGTGATCTTCTACATTGCGAAACCATCAATGTAGTTTGCGAAGTAGAAATCAACGCACAGCGGATAATTTAATATAATACATTCAGAGCCTCGACAAGGATTGCTAAGAATAAATCTTGCGTTTGGATTCGGTTAGACTGTAGCTTCACAGGTAAGGGTCGGCGGTACAAGTTTAAAAGAGTAAACAAAGTCAAAAGACGACGTCATCCGGGACGAACGCCGGGGTTAGTGAAAAAAAAAAAAGGTGCCATCACTTGCAAAAAGACGCACAAAACGTCTCCTTGTCGACCATCTAACCTACCGCAAGCCATCAGGCCAGAGGAATCGCAGGGATGAACCGCATAAACCATCATCTGAAGCTCATCCACGTAGTGATAACTCACCAGCGGTCGTCTGGACTTCAAAACCGCTGATGCGCCTTGTGTTGTGATGTTTGTAAAGACTACTTTCGGTAAACACTCATCAACCCGCGAAAGGTTTTCCCAAGCGGCCGCTGAGAGGCAAAACTGCGGAAACGAGTAGCTCTCGTTGTAGACCACATAGAGATGTACTAAAACCTCAGATCCGTCTTGGTGCATGAGCCGATGATAGCCCTCGAGCCACGTAATAGGGCCCTTCAGATCATTTATCCTCTCCTTCACCATCCACGCATAGCTACCAGATCGGAATCGATTCGCTAACGCATTGAACTCGGATCGGGAAAGCATGGAGGAGGCGTTTTCGCTACAGACATGTATACGTTTGTTTATAAAATGTGTAAAATCACATTCTTTAGATTGAAACTGAGGAATTGCAGATGCTATCGCATTGTGCGCAAAGACAAATATGAAGAAAAAGACAGGTCGGTAAACACAAACCATAATGCACATGG